GGCAAACTTACGCAACTATAGCTCTGTAAATTCTTCACGCATAAAACTCACAAAAACCTAGGCTCATATTATTCTCTACTATTTATACGAGTATTACCTGTATAAACAGTAGGTTTACATAAAGATAAATACGTAAAACTTAACTTATCTTAAAACAAGGTTTTTTTAATTAAATCCTTTGAAGAAAATCTTTTCAGAAAATAAGATAGAAATATTGAATTAAAAAGAATATTATCTTTTTAACAAACTGATTTTAAGAAATAAATATTTAAAGAAAATCTTTTTCCGATTTCTATCTTTTATCTTTTCCGATTTTAATTTATTTGCCAAGCTAACTGTCACGCTTCTAATAAGTTTCATGCATATCCTACTTAACATATTTAACAATGAATCTAGAAGATAAAATCTTAACTAAAATATTGCTGCGCTGTACTCTTGTTCTGGTAGGTTTACTTGGGCTCTACGCTTACTAAGTTCCTCCAAAGATCTTAATCAGCAATCTTCAAGTTCCTGTGAAGGAACGTTCCTGTTAGGGAACTCTTCTTTTATATTGAATAACTCTCTTGATAAAGAACTCCTTCAAGTCTTCTCAGCTTTAGTTACTTCTTCCATCTCCAAGATCAATTTCACCTAGGTTGCACAAACACTTGAAAAGTCTTTATGAGATGAGTTTGTTGTAACTTAAGTTCCTCATCATCAAAACCTTTAAACATCAACAATTTCCCCCTTTTTGATGATGACAAACTTAATCAAACTCTTGAGAAAGTTAAAACAAAATAAAAGGTCGTATTTTTGTATTTTAATTTTATTGACAGAAAATAAACACACAACAGAAATAAAAAAAAACAAAAAGTAAGCTAAGTAAACTAAAAGTAAACTAAGCTGAGAAAGTTATGATACTTTCTCAACTGGAACCCAGAACAACTTCAACCTTCATGTTTGCTTCTTCTTTTCCCCCTTTTGGCATTATCAAAAAGTCCTGTATTTTCAAGTTTATGAAACATCCACCAACAGCCCCACAAGCAATTCATCGAGTGTGGGAAACTAAAGGCAGCGCTGCTAAACAACCTCAAGTAAGATCTACTCTTCAACACAAGTGTTCAAAATATACAAAAACACACTAGTAAAAGCAGAGTTCCAACTATTCATTCCATAAACCAAAATATTTAACATCCAGATGAACAATTTTTTAAAAATTTACAACCAAAATCAATTGTTCAAATATTTAAAAATGAAAATTAAATATGTTCATAACTATGACAGTGAAAGAAAAAGCTAGGCTGATTTGGAGATGGGGTAGGCTGATTTTGAGATGGGGTAGGCTAGGTTTCAAGAAACTCCAGAATCTTGTTGAAGTCCTCCTTTGTTTGCTTTGCAGAGGCCTCCAACTTTTCTTTAACCCCCTTGAGCTTCACTAGGAACTCCTCCTTCTGTTCCTGTAGAGCCTTGTGAAGTTCTTTCTCCTGGAACTCCTTCTTTTCTTGAAGGTCCTTGGTCTGTTTGAGCATCATTCTCTTGAGTTCCTTCAACTCCTTCCCCTGCTCTTGGACTTTTTCTCTTCCCTATAACTCTCTCTTTCTTTTTCTCTCCTTTCTCTAATTTTTGAATTTTTCCTTGTACTACTTCCAGACTTAACTTAGCAAGGGTTTCCTCATTGATCACATTTTCTGGCTTCTCATTCAAAGCCCCATATTTTCCTTTTAAAACCACTCCTGCATTTTCAAAAACAGTAGACAAAATGGCTCCGTACCCCACTTTTGTCCTACTTGGAACACAATGAGCTAGATGCTGATACATCAAAGAAGGAAAGTTCACCTTAATCTTCTTTGAAATGCAGAAAATTACAGTCATATCCATTAAACATGCCTCCCCCTTCTTAGCAGTCCTAGGCAGAATAGTCTTTTTCACCAAATTAAACAGTAGCTTATTTAGAGGCTTAGATCATTATGACTCATGACCTTTTTACCCCTCTGTCCTCCTAATTCCTCAACTATATCTCCAGCCAGGAAATTTCCTACATTGATACTACCCTTTCCCTTCAAGTAAGTATCAAAACCTTCAGTAGGAGCTTTTAGAATTTTACCTAGAGTTTCTAGGTCCAATTGAATCTTTACATCATTCACCATGCTCGTTATTATTCCCAATTTTGCCTGAAAATTCTGGCAAAATTCATTCATAGCAGCAGGATACAAGTAATTTGATGAAACCCTAGTCAACAGAAATTCCCAACCTTGAAATTTAATTAAATCAAGAAACTCTAAAAATCTTGCTTTCCTACACCACACAGCGTCAAGACGATGACCTACTACATACCTTCCCGCCATTGATTCAAGTTCATCTTGATCAGTTACCTCCTCTTCTTCATCTTCCTTTTCCGATTCTTCCTTTTCTGAGTTGTTCTCCTCTTCTTTTTCTTCCTCTTCTCCCTCACTTATTTCTTCTTCTTCTCTGTTCTCCTCTGTTGTCTCTTCCGGGTTTTTCTCTTTCTCAAATTCATCAACTTCCTCAATGTGCTCTTCCAGAGACTTTACACTTTGTTTTCTTTCCTTCCATTCCTTTAATTTTTGAAGAACATTCGAGGCAGAGGAATCCCCTTGATCGATTTTACTCTCTACTTATTTTGGTTTTGGAGGAGATTTATTAGGGTTTTCAGAAGGTGTTTGAGAGGTAGAAGATGCTTTGTAGTTTACCATGGCTAAAGGAGATGATTCTTCCTGAATTGAGTTTTCTGGACTTTGGGATTCTTCAGAGGAAACAAACTCAGCAATGATCACCATTGAAGCTTGAGGAAGGGTTTTAAAGGGGTTTTCAAAGTTTTACTGAGAGGGAGTAAATTTGATGTGACAATGAGGTGAAAGAAGTGGGTGAAAATTTGCTTTTATAATAAATGAAGCGGTGGGAGAGAATTTAGGAAGTTTTCACTGTTTAGTTATTAATTGAACAAATTCAATTAATTTTTCAAAATTTAAACACTGGATGAATCTTTCAAAAAATTTAAATTTCCAAATACAGTTAATCTTGAAAGAAGTTTCTATAAAACAAAATTGGAACACGCTTTCAACATGTATGCAATGTACAAATTTAATAACTTAAGTCGTTGAGCAATTTAATGAACTTACCTTTGGCAGTTAACAACGGTGACACTTTAGCTATGTTTATCACACCAAGTTTGTGGTAGAAGTTCTTTTTGCTCTATTTACAATATTTTTGACTTTGCCATATCTTGGAACTTCAAAGGCTAGTACTTCAGCTTGATCGTTCCAAGTTCCAGTCTCAATTTCTCATATCTTTCTCTGTTCAAGGGCTTGGTCAGAATATCAGCAATTTGATTTTCAGTTTGGCAAAATTCTAACTTAATATTCCCTTGCTCCACATTATCTTTAAGAAAGTGATGCCTAATGTGGATATGTTTTACCTTTGAGTGTTGAACTGGATCTTTAGAAATACATATAACACTTGTATTATCACAATAAATAGGCACACAATCAAAAATAATACCAAAATCTCTAACCTGTTGTTTTATCCATAAGACTTGTGAGCAACATGCTGCTGCAGCTACATACTCAGCTTCTGCTGTAGATAAAGCAACTGTGTTTTGCTTCTTGGAACCCCAAGAAACTAAACAAGGTCCTAAAAACTGTACCATACCTGAAGTGCTTTTCCTGTTTACCAAGTCACCTGCATAGTGAGCATCTGTAAAACTATTTAAATTAAAAGAATCACTTCTAGGATAGAAGAGACTCAAATCGTCAGTTCCTTTCAAGTATCTAAGGATTCTTTTTACTGCTGATAAGTGAGACTCTTTTGGATTTACTTGGAACCTGGCACACAGACCTACACAAAAAGATATGTCAGGTCTACTAGCTGTTAGATAAAGTAGTGAGCCTATCATACCTCGATACATAGATTGATCAATGCAAGTTCTAGATGGATCTTCATCCAATCTAGTAGCAATTCCCATAGGAGTATTGTTGGTTTTGGCATTTTCCAACTTGTATTTCTTAATTAGTTCCTTAATATATTTTTGTTGATGAATCATAATTCCCTTTTCAGTTTGCTTAATTTGCAAACCAAGAAAGAAATTTAATTCTCCAGTCATGCTCATTTCAAATTCTCCACTCATAAGTTCAGCAAAATACTTGCACAAAGATTCCTTAGTTGCACCAAATAAAATATCATCAACATAAATTTGTACAACTAAGATATCAATTCCATTTGACTTTAAAAACAATGTTTTATCAATTTTGCCACGTTTAAAACCATTAGCCAAAAGGAACTTAGATAATCTTTCATACCATGCTCTAGGAGCTTGCTTTAACCCATAAAGAGCCTTATCAAGCTTATAGACATGGTTTGGGAACTCTGGATTTTCAAATCCAGGAGGCGGTTCCACATAGACTTCCTCATTTAAGTATCCATTTAAGAATGCACATTTGACATCCATCTGGTACAGCCTAAAACCCATATAAGTAGCAAAAGCAATAAGTAAACGAATAGCTTCTAACCTGGCTACAAGTGCAAATGTTTCTTCATAGTCAATTCCTTCTTGCTGGTTGAAACCTTGTACAACTAGTCTAGCTTTGTTCCTGACAATAATTCCATGTTCATCTAGTTTGTTTCTGAATACCCATTTTAGTATAATGGACTTCTTGTCTTTAGGTCTAGGTTCCAGATGCCAAACTTTATTTCTTTCGAATTCATTTAGTTCAGCTTGCATAGCATTAATCCAGTTTGCGTTAGTTAAAGCCTCAACATAATTTTTAGGTTCCATGGAAGAAAGGAATGCATTGAATGCACAGAAGTTCCTAAGCTGGGATCTGGTTTGAGTTCCTTTTGTGATGTCACTCATGATTGTGTCAACTGGATGAGATTTCTGATATTTCCAGGGCCTTGGAGTGAAATCTTATATTGGGTACATCCTCTCTTCATTATTGTTGACTGGTTCTTCTATAGGAACTTGTCAGGAACTCAGGTAGAACTTCTTCAGGAGTTTCCACATTTTAGCCTTCATTAAGATTTTCAGTCTGTTCTTGAAGTGGAGTTCCTGGTGCATTCTCCAACTCTGGTTCAGTATTTGTTTCATTATTCGTTACTTTTGCAACTTCATCATGCTGCTTCTGCAATGATGCTAGTTCCTCATCTGGATTTTGCTTACGCACAAGTCCAATTTCGAAATCATCATCACAATCCTGTACATCAACTAAATTTTCAGTCCCATCAAATATAATATGTACAGACTCCTCAACACACATTGTTCTTTTATTATAAACTCTATAAGCTTTACTATTTGAGGCATATCCTAGGAAAACTGCCTCGTCACTACGTTCATCAAACTTTCCCAAGTTCCTTTTACCATTATTGTGAACAAAACATTTGCAACCAAAAGATCTAAAGTAAGAGATATTAGGTTTTCTCCCTTTCATAAGTTCATAAGGAGTTTTGTTGGTGATGGCCCTAACAGATACTCTGTTGAGTATATAACATGCTGTGTTTACTGCCTCAGCCCAGAAATTCCTAGGCAGCCTGCTTGATATCAGCATTGTCCTTGCCATGTCTTCAAGACTCCTATTCTTGCGTTCCACTACTCCATTTTGTTGTGGTGTTCTTGGGGCAGAGAAATTGTGATCCATACCATACTCAGCACAAAATTCATCAAATTTTGAATTTTCTAATTATGTTCCATGGTCAGATCTAAGATGTATCAACTGATTACCTGTTCTTCTCTGTTCTTTCTTAACAAAAGCCACAAAATCATCAAACGTTTCATCCTTGCTTACAAGAAAGAAAACTCAAGTGAACCTTGAAAAATCATCAACAATAACCATTACATATTTCTTACCGCTTCTGCTTTGGATTCTCATTGGACCACAAAGATCCATATGAATGAGTTCCAAAGGTCTTTTGGTACTTACCACCTTTTTGGACTTGAAAGAAATTCTGGTCTGTTTACCTTTAGCACAAGCTTCACACACTTTATCATACAGGAACTTAATGCAAGGAAGTCCTTCCACTAAGTTCTTAGATCTTAGTTTATCAAGTAAAGAAAAGCTTGCATGACCAAATCTTTTGTGCCATAAAAGAGGATCATCCTCAATAACACTAAGACATGTTAAACTACTGTTAGGAACCTCGTTAAGATCCACAACATATGTGTTCTCCTTTCGAGTTCCTTCTAAAATAATGTTCCCAATGTCATTGTGGATGATTCTGCACTTATTTGAAGTAAAGCTAACAGAGTTACCTTTGTCACAAAACTGAGAAATACTTAACAAATTGTGCTTGAGGCCCTCGACCAAAAGTACATTATCAATAGCATGGGACCGTGACCTTCCTATCTTGCCAATAGCAATTATGTCACCTTTCATATTATCACCAAAGGTCACAGTTCCACCATAGTAGGCATCCAGTGAGAGAAATCTTTGTAAGTTATCAAAGCTTTATCACTTAGATGTTTGGATCTATGCAATTCTTTTAGATCTTCTTGAATTTCCAAAACAGTATCTATTAGATTCTCTTTAGACAGATGTATTAATTGATTGTAAGAGAACCATACCTCAGACTCAAGCTCCTTTAGCTTGGCAGCTTCATCAGTTTTTGCCATTAGACATAAATGAGCAGTTTCTTCTGATGGTTGATCCTCCTCTTCTTCTTCTGAATCTGTATCACCCCAAGCAGCAAGCATGGCTTTCTTAACGTTGTCCTTGGTGAAATAAGGCTTGTAGACTCTTGACTCTTTGGATTGCTCCTTGCCTTTAGTCTTGCCTTTCTCTCCATCCTGAACAGGGCAATCTTTGATAAAATGATCCTTTGATCCACACTTGAAACACGTTGTGTTTCTGAAACTTGTATACTTCTTGTTCCTGTCAAACTTCCTATTGTTCATCATCTTCTTAAATTTCCTTACTAGCATAGCCATCTCTTCCTCATCAACTTCTGATCCTTCTGAGTCTTCAGCCTTGAGTGCCAAACCTTTATTTCTGGAACTTTCAATGTTGGAACTCAGATGAAGTTCATGAGTCATCAATGATCCAACTAGTTGTTCCATATTGAACTTAGTGAAGTCCTTAGCTTCCTGCATGGCAGTAACCTTGGATCTCCAGTGTTCATCTTGTGGTAGGCTTCTTAAGATCTTCCTTGCCTGTTCATCAATAGGAATTTTCCTACCAAGGGAGTTGAGTTCATTAATAATATCATTGAATCTAGTAAACATCTCTTCTATGGTTTCTTTGGATTGCATTTCAAACCTTTCATACCTAGACATTAATAAATCTATTTTAGAACGTTTTACCTCGTTAGTGTTTCGGGGTTTTCTGATGTCCTGCGGGAGAGTTACAATTCCGAGACTGGAACCGGACGCCTGTACCTGCAAAACAACGGAGACTCCTGGTGGTGGGAGCTCCGCCTCCAACGGTCAAGTTAGTACTTGATTAAGGAGTAATTAATGCGGAAATTAAAGTGATTGGGTCTCTCTAGGTGAGAGTGTTTAATGTGTGTAATCTGCGTTTTTTGCGTGTTCCCCCTCTTAGTGAGGATTAAGGGAGGTATTTATAACCTTGGGAAACGTGTCAATCCTAGGTTTAAGTTAACCTAGGGCTGATTGGGCTTCCCTCGGAAGTTGGGCCTGGGTGGCCGGTTTCTCCATTAGGCATGGAGTATGCCACGTGTCATGACATAATAGGTCCAAGGTGGACGAATAAGCGTGTGCCACGTGGCAAGCCCTGACAGTTCCAACTGGGGGACACTTGGCAGGACCTGATTGGCCCACGTGGCGCATTCTGATTGGTGGGAGCAAAATCCCCTAATCAGTTAGTACCTTCATGAGTTACCTATAACAAATCCCAAATCTGTTTGGCAGACTTGCATCCCATGATACGATTATGTTCATGGGGTCCAAGTCCACAATGCAGATACTTTATAGCTAAAGCATTCATTTCAAGTTTCTGATAATCTTCTTTATCATAATCAGAAAAAGATTTAGAAACTACCTCATGCTTGTCATTGGTTTGAGTTATTACAAAATCACCAGTTTCAATTACACGCCAAACCTGGTAATTTTCGGCCTTGATGAATATCTCCATCCGGTTCTTCCAGTAGGCATAAAACTTACCGTTGAACATAGGTGGACGTTGGGTGGAGTACCCTTCTTCAAGTTTCTCCTTGTAATTCATCTCTCCAGGAACTTACTCAGCAAAATTATCTGCTTGCACGTGAGAACCGTGCTCTGATACCAATTGTTAATTGAGATGAACACTACAAGAGGTGGGGTGAATTGTAGTTGAGTTCCTAAATAATAATTTTGCAAATATAAAACAGAACAAAATAGGAACATGCGATGCACACAGATTTTACGAGGAAACCTTCTAGTGCCCAACTAGAAGTAAAACCTCGACCCTACCTTAGGGATTTCAAATACAAATACTTCCACTATAATAGGGTAAACACCAAGTTACAACCTATTATAAATCAGTCTCTACTCACAAGTTTCCACTCGAACTTACTACAGAACAACCCTTGTTTTACCCAGTTTGAGTCCCACACTCAAACTCACTCGTACTCCCTAAGTACAGATCTTCCCCCTTCTCACCAGAAGCTCTCTCTGTATGCAATGATAAAAATACTCTCACCCTAATAAACCCGAAACCAAATACAAGAATTAACACCTAGTATATGATAGGCAAGCTATGCATTAAACCCGAAACTAATATGACAGTATGATAAGCTTGGCAAACTTACGCAACTATAGCTCTGTAAATTCTTCACGCATAAAACTCACAAAAACCTAGGCACATATTATTCTCTACTATTTATACGAGTATTACCTGTATAAATAGTAGGTTTACATAAAGATAAATAAGTAAAACTAAACTTATCTTAAAACACGGTTTTTTTAATTAAATCCTTTGAAGAAAATCTTTTCAGAAAATAAGATAGAAATATTGAATTAAAAAGCATATTATCTTTTTAACAAACTGATTTTAAGAAAATAAATATTTAAAGAAAATCTTTTTCCTATTTCTATCTTTTATCTTTTCCGATTTTAATTTATTTGCCAAGCTAACTGTCACGCTTCTAATAAGTTTCATGCATATCCTACTTAACATATTTAACAATGAATCTAGAAGATAAAATCTTAACTAAAACATTGTTGCGTTGTACTCTTGTTCTGGTAGGTTTACTTGGGCTCCACGCTTACTAAGTTCCTCCAAAGATCTTAGTCAGCAATCTTAAAGTTCCTGTGAAGGAACGTTCCTGTGAGGGAACTCAGTTCCTGTTAGGGAACTCTTCTTTTATATTGAATAACTTTCTTGATAAAGAACTCCTTCAAGTCTTCTCAGCTTTAGTTACTTCTTCCATCTCCAAGATCAATTTCACCTAGGCTGCACAAACACTTGAAAAGTCTTTATGAGATGAGTTTGCTGTAACTTAAGTTCCTCATCATCAAAACCTTTAAACATCAACACTTTGTTTTTGAAAACTTATTTTAAGAAAAACAACCAATCCAGTTTGGTTGGTCCATGATATGGGTCCAATAGTAGTGATGTTGGATGGGGCTTGACAAGAGCTTTCCAACGATATATTATAAGCCCAATTCCGATGAATATTGAGGAAGTTATGGCCAATTTACTAAACTGGGCCCGGTTTGAGCCTTATATGCGGCCCAATGATCTATGGGAGGGCCTAATATAGATTTATCATTCCTAATGCAATTAGGAATTTTTAGTCTTCTAAATTCTTCTAGAAGGTTATTTTCATTCCTAATTCAATTAGCATTGATAAATTGACTTTTGTTGACTTTTCAGAGTTTTAATTAAAATCAAAGAGTATTTTTGAGAGAAATACGATTTTATCCTCCTGAACGACAATTTTTATCTGATTTTAAGAAAACGCGTGATTTTATGAATCAGCGCCAAACACCAGCTGTAGCTCCTCGCGCCAACAATGGCACTTGGCGCTAGTGTTGGCGCTGGTTCTGTTTTTTGTGTGCCAGACTCTGTTTTGATATTTTATATTTTTGGCTGATTTTCTTTATAAATAACGTCGTAAAAACTCCGTTTTCATTCACCTACAACCAGTTTTAATGAATATTCACCTACAACCAATTTTCATTCTCTTCTACAATTTACTCTCTCTCTCTCTCTCTTTTTCTAAACTAGCTTTTACATACAAAATTCCGCATTCATTAGATCTAGAAACACCTAGCCATATTCGAAGTTGCCTTTGCCCTAGACGTAAAAGGTTTAATTTCTGAGGGTTTGGTCCCAAATCTCTCTTTCCATTATTTAATTTAATTGTGTTGTTTATTATTTTCCTTGAAGTTACTAACGTGTGTATTTTGTTATTAGATTGAGGTACGAGGCATCAAAGTAAGTACTTTAATGGTTTTTATTGATGTTATTATGTAAAGATCACGTTTAAGGTTGTTATTATGATTCCTCGTGTCATGTCTAGGGTAACTTTAATATTAAATATGATTATTACGATGCTTCCTATGTTCTTTCTAATGCTTATGATTGTTAATATCATGTTAGGGTCACAGATATGATTTTTGATGCTTAGTGACATGCTAGGGTTGTTATTAATCTTGTTAGTATCATGCCTAGGATCTTACTATGCTTTAACATGATTATTATTATTATTAATATGATTAGTATTATGATGATTATTATTATGATTATACTTTATGATTTATGATTATAATTGTTATAATTATTATGATGATTATTTTTAATTATGACTGTTATGATTATAATTTTATTATTTATGATTATTATGTTGCTTGATATTTAATTTTTTTATTGCTTGATCACCTTTAATTGCATGTTTAAAGGGAATTTGGTACTTGTAATCACGCTTAATAAGATAATTAATAATCTTGTTTAGGGTTAATTTTGATTATAATTCAAGTGATCGCCAATAATAGACTTATTTGTGCATTATATTCAACCAACATAGATAAACAGGTTTAGGGTTAACCTATTATTAGGGCAGGTTCAATCTCTTTTAGGTTGGATTTGTATCTTCATCCCCGAACCCTATTTGGTTCAAGACTTTATGGAGTTGACGATCTCTTGGATCGTTAAGGGGTGTAACCTTCACCCTGTGAATGGTTTACAAGTTCCTAAAACTTGTTGGCGACTCTTTTTCTCTATCTTCTTCCCTTTTGGACGCCACCGTACTTTAGTGTATGATCACAGTGGGGTTTAAGCTAGGGGTTAACGCTTGAAATTATTCCCTACAATGAGTTGTAAATCATGCTTCCCTGTGCCCCATACTTGAAAAAATATTGTTTTGATTCTTGGTACATGATGATAAGCATTGTGGATTTATTGATCATGATTTGAAGTTTGATTGCTTGGATGCCCTAACATGCGTCAATTTTATCCAACTGCTTGTGAATATAGTGCTTGACTAGTTAATTTGGTTAGGAATGTGTCTTCCTGGCATGTAAATGAATTTGAGTATTGATTTGCAACTATGAGTAGTATTTTATGTCTCATTATTATGCACATTGTGGAGGACAAAGGAATTTGTTCTTTTAGGTGGCCTTCAGATGATTTTAGATACATTTGTTCCCTTCTTGCTACTCGTGTTGTTGCCTTGACTTTTTTTTTTTGTTTATAAACCACATTACAAGCCTATTTTTCCCCATTGGTTACTAGTCTCAAGCTTGGCTTGGAGGAGCTATTAGTGAGTGAGGTGAGGGAGTTTGTAGTGTGTTTATTATTTGCACAATTTGGGTGGGTTTAGAGAAGTAATTTTGTTCTTGATCGTAGTTTATTTTTGATGAGTTTGAAAGCTTAATCTTCTTGAGAAAAAAATAAAGTATGATGATATAAAAAAAAAAGAGAGAGAGAAGTTCAAGAAAAAAAATGAAAAAATAAGTGAACTTCAATAGAAAAAAAAAAGAGAAAAAAAAAGGAAAAAAAATTGTTTAATGTTCAAATGTTCTAGTTGAAGGTTGATCAAAAGAAACAAAGAAAAAATTGAGTTTCAATGAAAATCAGAGTTTGGAAAGTAAAGTTTGTTTATTCACTCAAGTTCAACATTGTTATACTTATGTGAGTGATATTGTAAATGTTGGAATTGTTTGTTATGTTTGGAGTTATATTTGGTGAACTTTTGTTGGAGTTGAGTATGTTGTACATGATTGGTCATTATTTATTTTTTACCTTGGTTTTATTAGGTTTTTGCTCCCTTAAGCATGGATTTTCTCTCACTTTTTCCCAAATATCTCCTACCCTTTTACCCTAACCTTACATT